GGACTCTCAAGAGTCTTCTCCAACACCACAGTTCAAAAGCATCAATTNTATTGTGATCCACACAATCAAAGGCTTTGGCATAGTCAATAAAGCAAAAGTAGAGATTTTTCTGGTCAATGATCCAATGGATGCTGGCAATTTGATCTCTTGTTCCTCTGGCTTTTCTAAATCCAGTTTGAACATCTGGAAGTTCATGGTTCACGTACTGTTGAAGCCTGGCTTGGAGAATTTTGAGCATTACTTTACTAGCATGTGAGATGAGTGCAATTGTGTGGTAGTTTGAGCTTTCTTTGGCATTGCCTTTCTTTGGGACTGGAATGAAAACTGACCTTTTCCAGTCCTGTGGCCACTGCTGAGTTTTCCAAATTTGGTGGCATATATATCGAGTGCAGCACTTTCACAGCATCAACTTTTAGGATTTGAAATTGCTCAACTGGAATTCCATCACCTCCACTAGCTTTGTTCGTAGCAATGCTTCCTAAGACCCACTTGATTTCACATTCTAGGATGTCTGGCTCTAGGTGAGTGATCACACCATCATGATTATCTGGGTCATGAAGACCTTTTTTGTATAGTTCTTCTGTGTATTCTTGCCACCTCTTCTTAATATCTTCTGCTTCTGTTAGGTCCGAACCATTTCTGTCCTTTATTGAGCCCATTTTTGCATGAAATATTCCCTTGTTATCTCTAACTTTCTTGAAGAGATCTCTAGTCTTTCCCATGCTATTGTTTACCTCTATTTCTTTGCATTGATCACTGAGGAAGGCTTTCTTATCTCTCCTTGCTCTTCTGTGGAACTCTGCATCAAATGGGTATCGCTTTCCTTTCCTCCTTTGCCTTTCACTTCTCTTCCTTTCACAGCTATTTGTAACGCCTCCTCAGACCACCATTTTGCCTTTTTGAATTTCTTTTTCTTGGGGATGGTCTTGATCACTTCCTTCTGTATAACGTCATGAACCTCTGTGACAATAGAACTCTAATAGATTTGTAATAGACATAGAACTCTGTCTATCAGATCTAATCCCTTGAATCTATTTATCACTTCCACTGTATAATCATAAGGGATTTGATTTAGGTCATACCTGAATGGTCTAGTGGTTTTCCCCACTTTCTTCAATTTAAGTCTGGGCATGGGAGTAAAGTTTAATTCCCAGAAATATGGTGAGATAAAATAATACATACTATGTGATGAGTAACATGTAATAATAATATTAATACACATTTATGTGAACGTGAATAATAATATGAAACTGCCAAATTGATTTGGCTAGCAATTCTAGGCAAAGTGAAAGTCGCTTGGTCATGCCCCACTCTTTGTGACCCCATGGCCTGCCAGGCTCCTCTGTCCATGGAGATTCTCCAGGCAAGAATCCTGAGTGGGTTGCCATGCCCTCCTCTGGAGGATCTTCCCAACCCAGAGATTGAACCCAGGTCTCCTGCTTTGCAGGCGGATTCTTTACCCTCTGAGTCACCAGAGAAGCCCAAGAATACTGGAGTGGGTAGCCTATCCCTTCTCCAGGGGATCTGAGTGACCCAGGAATCAAACCGGAGTCTCCTGCATTGCAGGTGGATTCTTAACCTGCTGAGCAACATGACTGTATGTAGTCTTTGAAAGGTTTTAAAACATCATTCTTTGCCTTCCCTTACTAAAGCTGTTGCTCACTGCTATCTCATGTCTTGGCTGAGCTAAGGAGATTAACAGGAACTGTGTTGGAGCCGTGATCTAATTGGTGTGCTGGGGTCTTCGAGCACCCAGGATGGGTGTTCCCATCAGCTGGGCCCCAGGGTAACAGACAGGCAAATATTGACGAGGTGAACCTGTTGGGGCAATTTCTCTGTGTCTGGGGGTGGAAGGTAATGTGGACCTTCCTTGCTCCCTTCCCCAGGTGCCTTTCTGCATTGCAGAGTCAGGGAGACCCCAAGCTCCATTTCCCAGAACCCCTTGTACTCATAGTTCTGATCCCCAGTTAAGATGACTTAGCTAGAAACAGGTGTGTGAGACTGGCAGCAGGGAATTGAGGCAGAGCACCCCTCCTTTGAGCTGTGCCTGTGGACAAGCCAGGGCAAGGAGACTTGGGGTTTCTTGGCAACAGTGTCCCAGGCCCCTCTCCTGCCTTTGGAGGGTTGAGTGGCAGCTGCAGGGGTGGTGGCTTCCCACTGCCTGGCTGTGGTTTGGTGGTGTGTCCTTGAACTCAGAGTTCCTCCTCCTTCTCCAGGAGGATTGTGTAAGCACCTAAGTCCCTGAATTAATCCCCTTGGCATCTGCTTGGAATACCCCGGAGAGATTCTTCCATTAGAAGAGTTTTCTGAACCTTGACTGGGCGCACGGCCTGAGGACTTAGCTACTGTGAGGTTGACCCCTGCTGGACGGCAGTGATGGCAGAAGCCTCAATCGGGACAGCTTCATTTTGGGAAATGACACCAAAAAGCAATAATGGAGGAGCAATGATTTGGAAGGAACCTAAGACCTTGAGTGACCATGAGGAGCAGAGATGCCCTGCTTACCTCCACCTTTCACAGTTAGAGGCAAGAGAAGTAAACTTTCTTGTTTATTTGGCTGTTACATTATTGCATGACGGAAAGGCGTCAGCCTCTCAGCTCAAACTAGTTTGTGATTGCTCTCCTTCAGAACAGATGGCTCAGTTGAGGAATCAGACAGCCAAGGGGCAGAAAATTATAGTTGGTGTTGATGGAGGGAAGAAGGTCTGAAGGAATAAAGTCTGGGTTTCTTACACTGGGTTCCTGGTCATACCAGCTTGCCTGCCTAACTGTTTGGCAATAAAATAGAATAATGTCAATAATATCCTTTTTGATGCTAAGAAAAGATAAGTAAATAGGTAAACCAACTCCATTTTAAGCTTCATTCCCACACACTTGGCTTTTGCTGCCTTCTCTCTGTCTCCCAGCAGACAATACCAAATGAACCTAGAACACACAAAATTGTTTTCCTTCTTCAAAAAATATATTTAAAAAATTACAAAAGTAATTTCATGCTAGTATGGAAACACAAGCAATATAGAAGATGGGATGCACAGATCAAACTCTCGGTTCCCAGGCCCACTGCTCAGGGGAACTGCAGTTGAGCATTTGGTGTATCCTCTTCTTTCCCTCCTTGTCCTGCCCTTGAAGGCAGTTGCCATGGAGATGGGGCTGAGGAGGTGGTTGATGTGACTAGGAAATTAGTTATATGTGGGAATTGAGCAAATAAGTAACCAGAGTCAAGTTTCTCACTGTTGGAGAAGGGAATTACAAATAAGGAAAGGGGAAAACTAGAGAGAAACCTGTTGGATTGGAATTAGAGGTATTAGTGTGAACCACTACTTTTAAAAGCTGTCTATCCATCTGCATACAGAGATAGACACAGCTGTATGTTTGTGTATGCTTGTGTTTGCTTGTGTGCATGCTTACATCTATACCTTGTCTCCAAAAAGAGCCTAGAAGCAATGACATCCCAAAAGGAATGAATATTCAAACTTGATTTCTAAACCCCATTTTCCACTAAAAGGAGAATTAACCAATTTCTGGGCAGGGCATGGAAATTTTTTTTTTTTTTCAATTATAAGATGTAGTTATTCTTCACAGTGGGAGGAAAAACACAGATTGGGAATCAGGGAAATGGGATCTGATATGATTCTGCCACCTAGTAGCGGTGTGGCCCTGGGGAAGCCTCCAACCCTCTTTATATCTATTAAATGAGGACATTGGCTGAGGTCCATAAGTTTCCAACTGTGCTCTGGGAAATCCCAGGGACTCCCCAGAAGTCCTAGAGCAGGGGGGTGGGATGTGGGGAGACAGGATGCCTGATCAGGGGCCCTCTGGTTCATACTCTACTGTAGATCTTGGGCTTCTGTTGAAGGTTTCATTTGAATAAAAGGTTACTGAGAACACCTGCCCCCGTCCCAGTTCCAGTCTCTGGTTCCGTGAGCCAGGCAGGGTGACCAGTGAGCCCTGGGGTAGCCAGCATTAACTCCAAGCCTGTGGAACAGATCCCTTGGCGATGGTTTTGGCCACTCGATACAAAACTCTTCACTTCTCAGTTTCAGAGTAGGGCATGGAAAATTTGAGATGAGCCTGGAATGTGTTGTCTTTTTGGCACAAGTAAGTAAGTGCTGAAAGAATGGTGGAGTCATGCTAAAAGGACAGAGGAGCCAGCTTGAAGGGGCTCCCACAGGCCAAATCTGGCACAATATGAACATCAAAATAAATAATAATATGAATTACATCTTACTGAATAAAATAGAAATTCATGAGCTCCTGCTGACATAACAAAATGAATCAGAAACTGGGGAGAAGGGAGAGCTCTTCTCCACAAGAGGCTGGTAATCATTTGGCAATTATCAGCGTGGTGGTCAATTCAGGCAGGAGTCAGTATTGAATGCTAAGGGTATCTCCTCAAAAAATATTTATCAACTAAAAGGAAAAAAATGTCAATTAATGTGAAGAAGCCTGGCAGACACTGCCTTGACTGGGTGACCGAAGTCACCACCCCATGGTCAACACCCCATGCCTCCTGATATGAAGCACTGAGGAAAGTCCAGCATCTTCTCTGTGGAATCCCTGCCATAAGGTCAGGACCTGGGCCTGGACATGAGGAAGCATTGGACTGANTGAATTCGATCTCTGGGTTGGGAAGATTCCCTGGCGGAGGGCATGACAACCCACTCCAGTACTCTTGCCTGGAGAATCCCAAGGACAGAAGAGCCTGGCGGACTACAGGCCATAGTGTCGCACAGAGTCAGACACGACTGAAGCGACTTAGCATGCACGCATACATGTATCCAGTAGCTCAGGCCCCGACTCAGATTGGTTAAATCAGAATGTGAGGGACTGATACCCCAGCAGGTGCATTTTTAAAAACTTTCCAGGTGACTCCGATATGCAGCCGATTTGCGAGCCAGCGCTGCAATCCAGGCTTCAGGGGAATCACGTGTGGAGTTTGTTAAATTGAGGGTCCCGGCGCCGCTTCCCCGGATCAGGCAGGTACGCAGGTGCGCAGGGCGATGCTGGCAGGTGCCCGGGGCCCCGCCCCCGAGGGGCCCAGGCGCCCCCGGGGAAGGCCCAGCTGCCCGCCGCCCCCGCGCTCAGCCATGGACGCCGCGCCCGAGCTCCTGAGGGTCCCGCCGGCCGAGCTGCTGGACGACGTGCTGCGGGAGCAGTTCGGGCCGCTGCCCCAGCAGGCCACCATCTGCCGGCTCAAGCGGCTGCCGTCGTCCACCCAGGACGTGCAGTTGGTGCTGGAGCGGCGGCGCGTGGCCAACGCCAAAGAGCGCGAGCGGGTGAGCTCAGGCCGGCCCCGCCCGCTCCCCGCGCCGGAACCCGGCCGCCTTCCTCCAGGCTTCCCCCAGACCCGCTACCCACTTCAGACATCTAGGGGGCCCGGGGAGCCCACCCCCCACCTTGGAGGCCCGGAGCGGCTTGGCCCTCCCGCGGGCCACCCGGTTCCCCTCCACCCGCGCGGGGCTGGCGCCTCACCTGGGACCCACCTGGAGCCGAGCAGGAAGCAGGTCTGGGGAGGCCGAGGGGAAGCCCGACCGCTTCAGAAACGCCTCCCGCTGGCAGATGCTTTAAACCCTCGGAGGCGGCAGGGCGCTTACATCTCCCTACCTCCTGCGCTGAGTGGGTGCTCGGGGCCCCCTTTACCCTGCGCCGAAGCCCAAATGGGGCGTGGGACAGGGGACCTAATGGAAGTTACTCATTTGCTTACTTTCAACGAAAAATTTAAACAACGTCTCGGTGTGCACCCAGACTCCCACTCAACTCCCAGGCAGGCGACTGAAAGTGGCTGTTTGCCACAGTCTGGCGCGTACGCGGTAAATCACCCACCCGGATGGTCCCGCGGGCGGAGTCGGAGCGCCATCTACCGGCATTTTCCCCTCAGTATTTCTAACTAAACTCCGACCCCAAACTTGTCAGATTCGGTCTCCTTTCAGTCCTTTGAGGTCTTTGGGTTGCCTGGCTGCAGAGAGCATCTGAGCGATGGAAGAGGGAGGGCCCGCATTCTGACCTGGAACTCGAGGAGGATGCTCTTCGATGCCCTGCTGGGGGTGTTCACGTACACTCCTGGACCCTTTAGTAACGTAGCTCCAGTCAATCAACTCGGAGCTCTGTTTGGGCTCAGGTGTGAGGAGAAAGAACCTAGTGAGTGTAGGAGACTTCAGGGAACGTTGGGAGCCCTTTATGATAACCCTGTGATCTGATGTGTCGGTGTGGTTCTCCAATAAGGTTCTGTTCCTGTATTTGGCATTTTAAGTTGGGCTTTCCCCACCAGGAAGGAATTGTTTTCTGCAGAGAATCGGTCCTGGTATTATCTACTATTTTAAAACTAATGACCTCATTCTTTATAATGATGAAATTAGTACACCTGGAAGATATAGAAATGACTAAACAGGGAATGGAAACACCCACAATGCAACTATAACGACCATGAACTGTCATTCTTGTTATGTCTTCCTGGTCTTTTTCCTACTTATATTTGTGCGTATATATGTGCGTGCTAAGTCGCTTCAGTCGTGTCCAACTCTTTGTGACCCCATGTACTGAAGCCTATCAGGCTCCTCTGTCCATGGGATTCTCCAGGCAAGAATACTGGAGTGGGTTACATGTCCTTTTTGAGGGGATCTTCCTGACCCATGTATCAAACCTGGGTCTCTTACATCTCCTGCATTGGAAGGCAGGTTCTTTACTACTATTGCCACCTGGAAGCGTATATATGTATAAAAATAATTTTATAAAATTGTGATCACTTAGTATATATTTTTGTACTTTTTTTTCACTTAACATTATCAAAAGCATTTCCTCATATTCCTGAGCAGAACAGCTTTTGACTTTATAGTCCAACAAATAAATTGACTGCTTATCCAGCCTCCTAGTCTTGGGCATATATGATTTTTTTTTTTGGAGCTTTTTACTGGTACAAAGATCTATGTCCATGTCTGATAATTGCTTTCCAACAAAACATTAGAAGTGGAATTACTGGGATATAAGCAGTCTCATGACTTTTGATACAGGTTGCCCAGTTGCTTTCTAGAAAAGTTTATTAATTAATTTGTATCCACTTTTACAGGCTATAGGATGGTTCCCTTCTTCTATCCCAATGCCTGGTATGATAATCAAAACAAAAATCTTACCAGCTTGGTACACAAAAAATGGTATCTAATTTCTGCTTTATTTTTTGTATTTTTAAGTGGAAGATAATTGCTTTATAATGTTGTGTTGGTTTCTGCTGTAAATCAATATGAATCAGCTATAAGTATACATATATCCCCTCCCTTTTGAGCCTTCCACCCACCTATAATTTCTATTTTAGTCTGTAGTTCTTTGATTATTAAAGTTTGATATTTCTTAAGTTTATTGGTTATCGTATTCTGCTGTGAATGGCCTGTGTTCATTGCCCAGTTTGATGTGGGGTAGGAGGGAGCTCTCAATATAAGTGAGTGGTTTCATGGTGTAGAGCCAGTTTTCTTTGAGGGCCTGTGTCCTCTGGGGAGTGATAATCAGGATTCCAGGCCTCCAGAGCCAAGGAATTAGACACTGAAGATTAAGAAAAAAAGGTACTTCATTCTGCCTTTCAAGTCTCACCAATATGCAGACTCTCTGGACTCTAATACTTGACTATATCGTCAGCTCAGAATGGAGTGAAGTTGAAGAATGGTTGGCATAGTACTTGAATAGACAAGTGTTTGTACATTTTATTCATTATTGTCAGGGCAACTTATTGAGGACTATGTGCTGGGGGAAATGTTTGATGTGTAATTATGTTCCTTAATCAGCAGCTACACCACTACAAGGTGAGGATTTTCCACTTGGCAAATAAACCAAGGCTCAGTAATATGAAGTGTCCTACAGACTTTTGCAAAGCTAAATGGTAGAGCTGGATTTTAATCCTTAAGTGCTGACTCAGAGCTTTTAGCCACTACCCAGACTGCCTATATCAAACCTGGGTCTCTTACATCTCCTGCATTGGAAGGCAGGTTCTTTACTACTATTGCCACCTGGAAGCGTATATATGTATAAAAATAATTTTATAAAATTGTGATCACTTAGTATATATTTTTGTACTTTTTTTTCACTTAACATTATCAAAAGCATTTCCTCATATTCCTGAGCAGAACAGCTTTTGACTTTATAGTCCAACAAATAAATTGACTGCTTATCCAGCCTCCTAGTCTTGGGCATATATGATTTTTTTTTTTGGAGCTTTTTACTGGTACAAAGATCTATGTCCATGTCTGATAATTGCTTTCCAACAAAACATTAGAAGTGGAATTACTGGGATATAAGCAGTCTCATGACTTTTGATACAGGTTGCCCAGTTGCTTTCTAGAAAAGTTTATTAATTAATTTGTATCCACTTTTACAGGCTATAGGATGGTTCCCTTCTTCTATCCCAATGCCTGGTATGATAATCAAAACAAAAATCTTACCAGCTTGGTACACAAAAAATGGTATCTAATTTCTGCTTTATTTTTTGTATTTTTAAGTGGAAGATAATTGCTTTATAATGTTGTGTTGGTTTCTGCTGTAAATCAATATGAATCAGCTATAAGTATACATATATCCCCTCCCTTTTGAGCCTTCCACCCACCTATAATTTCTATTTTAGTCTGTAGTTCTTTGATTATTAAAGTTTGATATTTCTTAAGTTTATTGGTTATCGTATTCTGCTGTGAATGGCCTGTGTTCATTGCCCAGTTTGATGTGGGGTAGGAGGGAGCTCTCAATATAAGTGAGTGGTTTCATGGTGTAGAGCCAGTTTTCTTTGAGGGCCTGTGTCCTCTGGGGAGTGATAATCAGGATTCCAGGCCTCCAGAGCCAAGGAATTAGACACTGAAGATTAAGAAAAAAAGGTACTTCATTCTGCCTTTCAAGTCTCACCAATATGCAGACTCTCTGGACTCTAATACTTGACTATATCATCAGCTCAGAATGGAGTGAAGTTGAAGAATGGTTGGCATAGTACTTGAATAGACAAGTGTTTGTACATTTTATTCATTATTGTCAGGGCAACTTATTGAGGACTATCTATGTGCTGGGGGAAATGTTTGATGTGTAATTATGTTCCTTAATCAGCAGCTACACCACTACAAGGTGAGGATTTTCCACTTGGCAAATAAACCAAGGCTCAGTAATATGAAGTGTCCTACAGACTTTTGCAAAGCTAAATGGTAGAGCTGGATTTTAATCCTTAAGTGCTGACTCAGAGCTTTTAGCCACTACCCAGACTGCCTTTACTTTGCAGTGGGGCTGCTCTAGGAGGAAGAGGCCCACGTGGACCTCGACACCCTTTCCAGCCCACCCATGCCTGGTGCCAGGTTCGTGCCGCTCCCGCTCCCCTTGCCAGGGACTGCACTGCCAGTGGAGCGGCAGTGCTTGGGTACGAGCCTGCTAGGCTTCATGGCTCAGACGGGAGCTGCGGAAACGAACCCTCACCACCGCCTTCGGTAGTCTGGGGAGATGCCTTACAGATTAGCTTCCCGTGCGTCACTGTGCCTTCTTCCTTTCCAGATAAAAAATCTCAACCATGGTCTGGCCAAACTGAAGGCATTGGTGCCGTTTCTTCCCCAAAACAGGAAGCCTAGCAAAGTTGATATCCTCAGAGGTGCAACCGAATACATACAAGTTCTCACTGATGTTTTGGAAGAAGCCAAAGACTCTGAGGTAAAGGTTTTAAGAAGTTAGAACAATGACACTCACCGTTTTATTGAGCTCTTTTTAGGTACAGGCCAACTTCTGTGTCTGTGCTAGTTGGTTTATACAATCCTCTGACCTAGTATGGATGCTGCTTTTACCGAGGAAGAAACCAAAATACAGGTAAAGGTCCCACAGCTAAGGAATGTCAGGACTGGAGTCTGAACCTAGGTCTGTGTGAGCTTTGGAGTCAAGTTCTGACCATCTGTATCCTTACCTCCTGTCACTGTCCAGAGCCTCTAGCTCTGAATTGCTTAGCTTTTGATGGGACTTTGATAGTAGGGATATGAAAGGAGGGTCCCTAAAGCCATGCTGTGGCAATGCTATTCTTCAGGAGAACACACATCAGAGAGGAAGCGCAGAAAGGAAGAGGGGTGTCCCTTGGGAGAGGCCCTCCCTGGGGGTCAACCCTGCTGGAAAGCTCATTGATCTCCTTTGATGCCAGTCTCATGGGATTTTGTGACCATTCAGTGGGACTACATAGGTGAACCTGTTTTGTAAACTGAAGCACTGTAATGTCACCACTAATATTGGGACACATAGCTCAGGGGTCTCCATCAGTGGAAGGTGCGAACTGGATTCATGAGCTCATTCCATGGAAAGGCAAATTTGGAATGCTTGAAAATATATTTGTTATCAGAGGAGGTAAGATATGAAGAGAGAAAAGGCCTTAGAAATGAGCCCTAAGGAACAGGAGAAGGACGGGCTATCAGAGAGGGGCAGATGGAGAAGCAAGATGGGGCCCTACAATCAGGAAGGGGGAATCTTGGGGATCCAAGTGTGGGAAGTTGTGCATGGAGCTATAGGTGGGGCCGGGAAGACAACCAGGTGTAGCACATGAAGGGCAGGAGTGGGCTGGAGGCCAGCCTTTGGTGGGTGATGGAATGTTATTGGTAAATATCTGAAATCCAAACAGAGGGAAGTGGCAAGTTTCAAGTCCATTCAGTCTGAAAGTCTGAGACTGGAAAGAGGCTCAAAAGGATGCAAGAACAATGACAATTGTTAGATCAATGAAGGTCTTTTCTAATTAGCAATGTGATCCTGTTTAGGGACTGAAGAGGACAGATAGCAGAGAGAGGAGAAATATACTCAGGAACAGGAACAGACAAATGCTTAGTGGTACATTTTGGTTTCTTCCTCTTGTCTGCTAGTCCTATTTACGTGACAACTGGGAGGATACATTCTGCATTGGTAGGAGGGATGGATTGTCCTGATGGACAAACTGGATGGCTGGGTTGTAGAGTGGTTGCAATATTTGCACAGATGCAGATGGCTACATTAGTTTTTCCTTGCACGTGAATCGCCTAACAGAAGTGCTTTGTTTGGTGTTACATAAAATACAGAATCTGTTCCATGCTGTAATCTTTTTAATGTAGTTTCCAATCACACAACATTTTAAGGTTATAGCAGAACAGAAACCAGTCTGCTGAGCAATGATTTTTCTTTCCATAATAACTTCAACATTGCTCTCATCACTTAAATAAAATTTCATAGGTTAAGACTTTGAAATATATTGGCTTAAATAGTCAAAATCTGTCCTATTTTACTGTATGACAACTAAATATGGTTTTTAGAAACGAGACCCAGATCATCAGAGCTATAGCAGCAGTACTTCTGAGCCAATGTTGGAAGGAGCAGCCTGCTTTTCTCCAAGTCTAGGAAGTGGAGGTTTTGTTCTTGTGTCTCAGTGTTACATAGATGAGATCCCTTGTTCCATTATTGCTACTAAAACTAGAAAGGCTTGCAGAAATCTGGAACTAAGCAAGTTGCTTAGTGTGGTATAAGGAACAGTGGGGGCTATGGAGTAACAAATGATGCTTGGTCGTGGGAGCTGGTTTAGGAGAGCAATTGAGTGGCGGCTCTGGAGACAGAATGCTGAGGTTCAAACCCTGGTTTTAGCACTTGTTGGTGTGACCTTGAGTGAGTTGCTAAAGTTTTCCAACCCTCAATTTCCCCATCTGTAGAATGGAAATGATAATTGTACCTATGTAAGGTATCCACTCCAGTGTTCTTGCCTGGAGAATCCAGGGACGGGGGAGCCTGGTGGGCTGCCGTCTAAGGGATCGCACAGAGTCGGACATGACTGAAGCGACTTAGCAGCAGCAGCAAGGTACCTGTGAGGTTCAAATGACATCATGTCAGTGGAGTGTCTAGCATAGTACCTGACATGTCAGCGTTCACTTGGACTTCATGAAGTTGGCTTGCCTCACCGTGAGCCATCAGTATTGACGGGTGAGCAGTCAGCAGTGGGCCCCAGGCATCACCACTCTGTAACAAGTGGTCTGGGTTTCCTCACGTGGCTGTCACCAGTACTTCACTCTGGTCTGAGGTCTGGCAGACATTCTGCTCATTGGCTGGCCTCATTTCTGATCCGATTACTGTTTTCTAAGGATTCTACTTGTGCACATGCTCAGTCTAGATTTTCCAGTTCTGGCCACTTGAGATTTAAAACTTCCCCTCTCCCATCAACTTTTAGGAAGACAGAATTCCTCTTGCTACTCTATGAGCTAATAGGGAATGACTAAGAACAAAGGAAAGAGTGAACAGAAGCTTGAACCTGACTGCCTAAGTGAATAACAGTAACGTGTCCACAAATGTGGTTTGCGTGTGTTAGGTATTAAGGCAAGAATCCTGCTTGCATTTAATCTTCACTGGTCCTTATCAGGTAGGCATCACCGAGTCATTCTCATGGTGAGATACCTGACTGGCTGGTCCTTCCTGCTAGTCCCCCTGGGCCTGGTACACAGCAGGCCTGTGTGCCCTGCATTGCAAGATAGATTCTTAACTCTGGCCCACCAGGGAAATCCCATCACCGTCATCCTTTGATCACTTCCTTTTTGGCAAAAGATGGTCCAAGCTCAAGCATCTTGTACTTTTCCAGCCCCAGCCTTGGAATCAACCTTTTATCAAGGACGTCCAGTGGGTTAGCTCGCCTCCCACCTCCTGCCATCTCTCTGTCATCTCCTCCATCTGTGGCTCCTCTCCTTGGGTTTTAGCACCTGAAGTTGGTTTGCTAGAGCTGCAAAGCACACAGACCAAGTGGCTTAAACAGCACATATTTCTTTCTTACAGTTCTGGAGGCTGGAAGTCTTACAGTTGAGGTGTTGGTGAGCTTGTTTTCTTCCGGCCTCTCTCCTTGGCTGGAGATGGCCTTGCCTCAGTGTGGGCTTACCCCTGGTGTCTATGTGTCCAAATTTCCTCCTCTTATAAGGACACCAGTCAGATTGGATTAGGGCCCACCCTAATGGCCTCCTTTTAGCTTAATCACCTCTTTAAAAGTCCTAAGTCCAAATACAGTCCCAGGTACTGGGGGCTGGAACTTCCACATGCGTTTTGGGGGCCACGGTTCAGCCCATAACAGCACCCATGACAGGCTGCCCCTCCACAGGAAACCTCTCCAGGAGGGATAGAGATAAAGGGGCCGAGGAACAAAGCTCAGGTTGGCCTTGATTTCCCAAAGAATCCTCATCAGGGAGTATTCTGGTTTACCTGAAAGGGTAACTGTTAATACATAGGTTTCAGGGTCCAGTCAGATACCCTAACTGGAGACATGGGGACAGCCAGTGTGGCTCACTGGACTGAAATGTCCATGTCTAGAGGGGCTTAGGAACTGGGAGGCAGGTCTCCTCCAATTTCAGTCTGCAGAAGCAGCACCCATTTTTCCACTCTTGGAGAGGATCTCTGAGGAGTGGAATCTGGTGCTGGCAGAGATCAGCACTTGGGGCGACTTGGGGGCTGGGGTTGGAAGAAGCTGTGCAAGATGAACAACATTCTTGAGGCCAGAGCCTTAGTGAGGCACACAATCTGCTGATGGCAGGTAGGGAGGAGGTGAGTTGCTCAGGCCAGAGCAGGTTCACTTGGGACTGAATCAGCAAGTGCTTGTGTGTGTGGACAGAGCGGATATGGCCATGTGAAGCCACAGCACCTGGCCTTGGAAGGGAGATTGATGTCAAGGTCCAGGGGAGGATTGTTTAAACTGGGCTTTCAAGGTATAGGATTTTACTGTTTGGGGATTAGACTGGGTGGCATGGTGTTCACTAATGACGTTTATCTCTTCTATTTGTCGCTGTGGCTTAGGCATTTCACATCAGGCAAAGCTCTGAATGTTGCTCAGTGTTTCCTGTAATCCTATAGAGACTGTGTCCCTGGACAAAGTCCACCCTCAGTGCTAAAGTGAGACACCAGTTGTGCTGGGGTCTGAGGGGCTCTGGAAAGGGATACATGTGTGAACATAAGTGCCTGTTGTGGGATCTGGATGTGTCGCCATCCTACACATCTCAATTTTGGTCTGTCATAGGAGCAGTCCTTGGAAAGAGTTTCTGAAAGAAAGAAGCCTGGTGGGTGGTAGATTTCCTCGAACCGGCCCCCGCCCCCGACACCGCAGGTTGTGGTAATCTGTGTGTGAAATTAACCCCTGGGGACATTTCTTCTAATAGCAATTTAAGCTCTGCAATCAGATGGTCTGGCTAGTTGGGATGAATTTATTAGCATCCTGGGAAGGCCTTGAAGTGTCTATTGTTCTATCTTCCATCTCATGTTTTCCCCAGGTAGTGGTGATGTGTGATAGCAAAGATTCCATACAGCACCACAGCAGTGGGGATAGTGGGCAGGAGGCTCTGGGATCTTCCCCAGTATTCACTGGTGTCCTAGTGCGCATATGCAGATGAGATTAGTCAGCAGAATATTTTAAAAGATCGAACCTCCCTTTTGATGGGGTGGGTGCTCCTTGGTTTGTCAGTCCCCACCCCCTCTTCCTGCATCTCCATGTAGGCATTTAAGTTTTGCAGACAGAGGCATTGAGTTCAGAAGGAAAGCTGCCCAAGTGGTTGCATTTGGCTCTGGGATGCTATTGTTTTCTAAACTTCGGAGGTTTAGGGGTTGGTAGTAGTAAAGAACCTGCTTGCCAATGCAGGAGATAGAAGAGATGTGGGTTTGATCCCTGGGAGGGGAAGATACCCTGGAGGAAGGCATGGCAACCCACTCCAGTATTCTTGCCTGGAGAATCCCTTGTACAGAGGCGCCTGGTGTGCTATGGTCCATAGGGTTGCAAAGAGTTAGATAGGACTCAAGTGATTTAGCACACACACATGCTCTAATGATATGAATGCTATTCATTTTCTCCGGAACTTTGGTAAGGTGAGATGTAGCATGCAGGGCAGCATCCATCTAACTTTGGAGTCATGCCACCTCTGATGGAGTGGTCCCCAGGCTTCAGCTACTGAGAAAGAGATCCAACCAGAACCTGGGAAGACTGTCTTATTTTTAAACTAATTTTTGTTGGAGTATAGTTGCTTTACAACTTTGTGTTAGATGTTACTGTGTAGAATCAGCCATGATGTATCCATACATCCCCTTCTGGACTTCCTTCCCATTCAGGTTACCACGGTGCATTAAGTTGAGTTCCCTGTGCTACACAGTGTCTTATTCCCAAGGAAGACTCTTTAAAAATTTTTTAAAAAAATTTTTCATTGGAGGATAACTACTTTATAACACTGTGGTGTTTTTGCCATACATATTGACATGAATCAGCCACAGGTGCCCATGTGTCCCCCGTCCTGAACCCCCCTCCCTCATCTCTCCCCACCCCATCCCTCTGGGTTGTCCCAGAGCACCAGCTTTAAGTGCCCTGCTTCATGCATTGAACTTGCACTGGTCATCTATTTCACATATGGTAATATACATGTTTCAATGATATTCTCTCAAATCATCCCACCCTTTCCTTCTCCCACAGAGTCCAAAAGTCTGTTCTTTACATCTGTGTCTCTTTTGCTGCCTTGCATATAGGATCATTGTTACCGTCTTTCTAAAATCCATATATATGCATTAATATGCTTAATTTTTTTGTTTTTCTTTCTGACTTACTTCACTCTGTATAATAGGCTTCAGTTTCATCCACCTCATTAGAACTGACTCAAATGCATTCTTTTTTATAGCTGAGTAATAGTCTATTGTATGTATGTACCACAACTTCCTTATCCATTCATCTGCTGATGGACTTGTGGGTTGATTCCATATCCTAGCTATTATTATAAACAGTGCTGCAATGAACATTGGGGTATATGTGTCTTTTTCAATTCTGGTTTCCATGGAAGACTTTTAAGGCCCAATCTGATCAGGTAAGAAGAAAATATTACAGGGATGACATAGTCTCATTTCTTTATGAAAATAAGAGAGGGAGATGTCTTTTGTTGGAAATTGGATTTTTCCGTGGGGACAAAAGATTGAATCAGTCATGGCAGCAGGTTTTGTCTGTGTGTGTGCAGGTGAGCATGTGGACGTGAAGCCTGGTGTGTTTGAGGGGATCTCTAGCTGCTATGTGCCTCTGAGTCTGTCAGTGAGCTTAGCATCTTCTGAGAAAGCCAGTAATTTCTGTTTCTCTAACATATCGTGGGCATGGTGTTTAAATTAAGGTAATTTCTTATCTATTCTTATGAACTTCGTGAGGGATTATTTATATGAGTTTTTTCTAATTTTTTTTGGCTGCGCTGGGTCTTAGTTGTGGTACGTGGGATCTTTTGTTAACTGTGGCATGTGAACTTCTTAGTTGCAGCCAATGGGATCTAGTTCCCTGACCAGGGATTGAACCCAGTCCCCAGCATTGGGAGTGTGGATTCTTAGCCACTGGACTGCCAGGGAAATCTCATTTACATGAGTTTTATGAAAGGTCCATCTCATTGGTCCCACATGAATGTGGGAGAGAATGACAAGAATTGGACAGAAGGGTCTCTCAAAGACCCTTTGCTGAGAGGGTCCTGAGAGGCAGAGCTTCTCTGACCTGCTGTGAGACCTCCCTGGGTCAGCTCTGGGTCAGCAGAAAGCCACCGAATGCTCAGCCCCCGACCACATGAGCCAACCCCGGAGGGAGTCGGTGATCCTTCCACCCGCCACCTTGTCCCTGTTCTAACCCTGGGCTCTGCAGAGCTCATCAGGGATAAAACGGACTCCAGAGACACGGTGTTCATGGCAGATCTGCTAGCGGGAGGGAAAAGGGGTTAGAAATACAACACAAATATTTTTCGGGACTCTTCAGTCCTCTTTGGCTCATTCTCTTCCTTTTTGGAAGAGTTTTCCCTCCAGGAATTGTCCTTGCGGCAGCTCTTGCCTAGAAGACAGGCCTGGATGCCTGCCTCCCTGGGGTGCTCTGAGGTGAGAGGAAGCATGGGGCAGAGTCCCCCAAGCATCATGCTGTTTGGGCCAGGTCCCCAAGGGAGGAGACATGGGGCTTAGTGGCCAAAGCCCTGCTCACTCTAAAGAGCTTCGTTTACTGGAAGAATCATCTGTATGGCTCTCCCTCAGACATGAGACAATGAGGCTGTCTTCTGAACAAGACTGGATTCTGGTCTTGGGGTCCTGGCTGGACTTTCACTCACTGAAGTAGTATAAGCGATTAGAGCACAGTTTAGATGGGCAGAAAGGCCACTTTACTTCCTACACTGGTCTCCACTTGTTCTTGGGAACCCATTAAGACCCTTATCACTCAAGTAGTGGGAAAGCTCTTTATCTTGCTCTCTGAAGGTCTATCTTCTTTGAGTAAACGCGGAATCAGTTCAGTGTTCGGAATGTCCCCCTTGGGCACTCCTGTGCCTCTTGGGCCGTCTCCCGCCGCCCTGCCCTCCCCCGGTACAGTGAGGAGTGTGTACAGCGTGGAGCTGCAGTGGGGGCGCTCGTGTGTGTCTCTCCACCTCTGACCCATCTGATCCTCTGGCCCTGGTCTTGGGTGTGGTTGGGCTGACATTGGCTGTGGGTGTCCATCCCCCCTGTGGCTTATTTTCTCTAAGCCACACCATTCAGAACCCAGGCCTCTTTTCGTCCTCCTGGCCTTCCTACTCCCAGACGGGCTGTGTGGCTGCCCTCGGGTCTGTGGTCCTGAAGATGCCCCTCAGCCAGTGCTCACCCACTCCTCTGAGAGGCTGTATCCTGAGAAGTGGGTACAGATCCTTGCTTTCTTCAGACTCCACTTTGCCTCTGGAACCGTCCCCCATCCCTGGGTCAAAGCCCAGGATAGCATAGTACAAGGACCCTTCCCGGGGATCAGGCAGCTTCCACATGCTGAACATCCCTCCTCCTGTTTCAATTTCATCTCCGTTTTCGGCTGTAGGAAGTCTTCCCACATCATATCTTGCCTCCCCTCTGCTCTGTGACTACTGGGTGAGCAGCCATCTGAGCTCTGCCCACCAGACGTGTCCCCTTGAACAACGTTGGCCTCTTCCTAACAAGAGCCTTGCTTTTCAGACTATTGTGAAGCTTGGAACTGAACTCTAAGAAGCTCAGTGAGGACTTCTGGTCTGGTGTCTATTTACTTCTCCCCTCCCCGTCACCCCACTTCCCAGCCTCGACTCAGTGGGGGAAGGAAAAGTACATCAGATAATGTGTCAGATTATAGAGCTACACAACCAACAGCAGGAGAACACCTGCCTTGTTAAAGTTGCTGAATAGCAGGCTGGGTTTTGTTCCTCAGACCACCCTCTTCTTGGACCTTCCAACTCCTTAACTTAGATGGACCCAACATCTTTAAGTGAACTGTGACAATAAACATCAATAAACTTCAAGTTTTTGTATTCCAATACTTAAATATTACATTCCTGGAATTTTCCAGCAACTTAAAAGAAACTAAGACAATAATCTATAATATGCTGAACTGTAGGCTGATAAAATGAAATTATCCTTTAACCCTCTAGGTGAACACAGTAATCCATGAATTTGTCTTCTAGGTTTAGAACATTCTGGTTCTGTAAAAAGTTAAAAGTCTTAGAAATAAAACTTTTAAAGCTAAATTTGAACTCACGAAAGTTGATGACATGTATCATGGAAAGACTTGCTCAAGATCAGAAAAAATTGATACTTATTTTGTGCCAGGCACTATTCCTGGCAATTTATACCTAATAATCTGTTTAATTTTCATAACCACCCTGTGAGGTACAAACAGCTATGTCCATTTTATATGTCATGAAACTAAGAAATGAAGTTAAGTCACCTTATATCCAGTGAGTGGACAAAGGGGTGGGGTTGTGAGATGTGGGAAATAGTCTTAAACCTTTTAATGGCCTTTTATTCTAACAAAGATCACCCTTTAATTGTAAATAAGTGGGCTAGTAAGTAAATAAATGCTTTTTTAAACCTAAATTAGTCTTCGATTACAGTATTTCATACTAATATACACTTGGGTTTCAGTTTCTGAACTGTCAGACCACAATTTGAGTGTCTTTTTTAACTCATGGATGTATGTTGAGACTTCAGAAATTGAGAAGAGCAAGGTTATCTTACTATCTTAAGCCACAGATAGAAGTATACTATTGATACTCTGCTTGCAAAATTTTCCCGATGAATTAATAAATTATCATAAGGTGTATAACATTGTATATATTTTTTATTATTCTATCATTGACATGTTAGAGGTTACCATGAAGTTTTTATAACAAGTTTTAATGGTCCATGAAATTATCCATGGGATAATTTTCTAATTGTTGGACATTTGTTTTTGGTTTTTTGTTCTCAACCTGGTGTCTTTAGTTCTTTTTGTATTTTGTTTTGTTTTTAGGATAGATTCCCCATAGAACTGAGTCACAGGTAGGTATAATCTTGCCAATTAATAATATCACCAGCTTATAAAAGTGCTGAGTCCATAATATCCTTGCCAACAATGAGATTGATTAAAATGATTGCATTTTTTGCGCATTAAAATTCTATCTTTAAATTTAAACATCTTTGATAACTAATTTTTACCTTCTTATTTGTCTCTGAACTGTTTCTATCTTTTGACCATTTACAATGAGCTCTCTTCTGTTTCAGGTTCCCTCAAGTATGAGAAGTGAAAAGACTGGCCCAGGGCTACCTTCTACAGACGAATAAATGCAGTCTTAAAAGTTTTAGAGTCTCTTTTTCTTAAAAAACTGTCATAATTCAAAGAGCAACAATTACCCTTTAAATGTCCTTGACTGTCACAGAGCTACTTGACTCTCCTTTCTCAGTTCCCTTCCCCCAGCTAAGGCCGTATGGTCCCTCTGTGCAGGTTAGACACACAAGCGCTGGAGCGCAGAGGCAGACTTCGTAGCGACTGCTCAGAGACCTAGCGCGCAGTGAATGGGTCTCTTCTCCACACTTCCCTTATGATAGCTTGTTCTCATGATGATTCTGCAGGATGGGCATGATGATCCTGCTTTACAGATGGGGAAACTGAGGCACAAAAAGTGGACAGTCCATGAAGGCTGCCATAACACAGACCACAGGCTGGGTGGCTTAGTAGGAATTTATTTCTCACACTTCTGGGAGCTGGGAAGACCAAGATCAAAGCCTAAAGGGTTTAGTTTGCTTTCCCTGTCTTGCTGACAGTTGCTTTCTCTCTGTGTCCTCACAAGGTGGAGAGAACACTCAGGTTCTGGTCTCTTTTCCTCTCATGAGAACACCAATCCTATCAGGTTAAGGCCCCACCCTTTACTTACAAAATTTATTTTTAATTGGAGCATAGTTGCTTTGCAATGAAGGCCCCACCCTTACAACCTCATTTAACCGTAATGATCTCCTAAAAGCCCTGTCTCTGAGTACAGTCACAGTGAAGAGGATGAATTTTGGTCATCCTTCCATGACATGCTTTCTGGAGTGAAGAACACTCCCAGAGGAAAGAAGTGTTAGGGAGTGTTGTCTTAGAGGAGTAAACATCAGGTGTAGCTAGATGACAATCATTTTCAGAGTGCACTTAAGCAAGTCTCCTCTGCTAAGTATCCAAGGTCATTATTTGCAAGTTCTACCTTTGACAAACACTAGAATAAAAGGCCATGGTTTTTCCAGTGGTCATGTATGGATGTGAGAGTTGGACTGTGAAGAAAGCTGAGCACCGAAAAATTGATGCTTTTGAACTGTGGTGTTGGAGAAGACTCTTGAGAGTCCCTTGGACTGCAAGGACATCCAACCAGTCCATCCTAAAGGAGATCCATCCTGGGTGTTCATTGGAAGGACTGATGCTGAAGCTCCAATATTTTGGCCACCTGATGTGAAGAGCCAGCTCACTGGAGAAGACCCTGATGCTGGGAAAGATTGAAGGTATGAGGAGAAGGGGACGACAGAGGATGAGATGGTTGGATGGCATCACTGACTCAATGCACATGAGTTTGAGCAAGCTCCAGGAGATTGTGAAGGACAGGAAAGCCTGGCGTGCTGCAGTCCATGGAGTAACAAAGAGCTGGGCATGACTTAGCAACTGAACAACACAGCATTCTTTGTACCAGAGAAGACCACCTGAGGCCAGGTTGAAGGAACTAGAGAAACTCATCAAGATTACCTGAGACCAGATTAGAGAAGAGCAGGCCCTGCACACAACTTAATCTGTCAGCAACCCTACCTTTGAACTATTGCTATAAAACTCCTCACTAAATCCTCCTGGGTTGGGACACATAATTTTGGAGGAGCAGAGGCTGACTGTGTCACCCTTTGCCTTGTGAAGCAATAAAGCTATTATTTTCTGCTTCACGCAAAACTCTGTCTCCAAGATTTGATTTGACACTGGCGCATAGATGCAGAGGTTTGAGCATCAGTAATAAGACTATAAGTACTTTCACTTGTCCCATTTGGTCTCCATGACAACCCTGGGTGGTTGAAGACTTCATTTTCTGGGGCTGCTGTGACAAAGTACTGCAGACTGGGGGGCTTGAACCACAGAAATTCATCTGAGATCAAGAGATGGAGGTGTCAGCAGAGTTGTTTTCTGGATGCCTTTCTTCTTGACTGTAGATGACCGTCTTCTCCCTGTGTTAGTCTGTATGCACATTTCCTCCTCTTAAAAAGGCATCATCCTATTGGATTAGGACTCACTCCTGTGGCTCAGCTGGTAAAGAATCTACCTGCAATGCAGGAGACCTGGGTTTGATCCCTGGGTTGGGAAGATTCCCTGGAGAAGGGAAAGGCTACCCACTCCAACATTCTAACCTGGAGAACTCCATGGACTATATAGTCCATGGGGCTGCAAAGAGTCAGATATGACTGAGTGACTCTCACTTGCATACAACCTAGTTTTATATCTTAGTTATTTCATTAATTTATCTCATTGTCTCTTTGAAGACCCTAACACCAAAAACAGTCACATTCTGAGGTACTAAGGCTTAGCATTTTAACACAGGAATTTGGGGGCACGAGTCAGCCCATACAAGAGGGCAAGTGCTGTTACCCTCAGTTTATAGCTTGGCGCTAGGGTCAGAGTCTTACCTGAGGTCACACAGTCCATGGGACCAGGATTGGCGTCCCAGGCCCTGCACCCCCAGTTTCATTCTTTTTACACAGCAGGCTTCAGCCACAGGGTTGGCTGAACTTACTCTTGTAGGGAGAGTGTTGTCTTCAAGAGATCTAGACTTAGAATTTACCATTGATCTTGCTTTGAAAGCACCGTCTTCCCTGCTCTCTTCTATCTTAAATTCAATTTCTCTAAAAGTAGGCCATAATTTATAGTTTATTTGGGAGGCAACTCCAGGAAACATCAGTCAAGGAGTGGGAAAATTATATTGAGAAGAAAATCCAGACTATAAAAGCTGCATGCTGAGCGGTGATGCTGTGGGCATGACTGAGTGAGGGGCTCAGTCACGCTGGGAGACTGCACAGCATGCCTCAGCGGGGTCCTCCCCACACTTCTGGAGCAGGGAGTCGGCCTCTTCATCCGCTAAATCCTGATGGTCGCTGGTTGAGAGCTGATACTCTGGGGTGTCAATTCCTCCAGCACCCCCAGCATGCTCTGCAGTAGGCCATTGATAGAATGCCTAAAGTGCTAAAGAGAGTGCTAAAGTCCTGGTTATCTATCGCTGAGCAACCAAATACCCTAAACTTTGCAACTTAAAATAACACATTTATTATAACAGTTTCTGTGGGTCAGAAGTTGTGCTTGGGCATGGCTTAGCTGGGCCCTCTGCTCCAAGGTTTCTCTCAGGCAGAAATAAAGGTGTCAATCTGGGCTGGGGTCTCAGCTGAAGGCTTGGCTGGGGAAGGGCCTGTTTTCAAGGTGATGTGACTATCAACAGAATTCGTCTCCTCTAGGATGTTTGGGCTCATGGCCTCAGTTTCTAGCTTTTTTTCCCTTTTTTTCCAGATATCACCCTCGGTTCCTTACCATGTAGGTCTGTTAGACACGGCAGGTGTCTGTACACTGCCATCCACTCTCTTTACAAGTTACTGCTGGCTAGAAACATTTTCATCAAGAGACTTGAAGATTAGAAATAATTTTATTGCATATCAGTTAGAAAGTCTAATTTTATCTGGCTACTGGAGGCTATCCAAATGTAATTTTCTGGGTTTGACATGGAGTCTCCTATACTTTTCTGTTCCTTATTAAGAGCCAGGCATCTTGAGCTTTCTGCAAGTGAGAACTTGGAATTTTGATGATACTTGATGGAGCCAAGTAGTTCCGATTCCCTTTGTTGGATTTCAAAGTGAATTTGGAATTGAGTGAGAACTTCTGGAACTTCAACTAACATTTCCATATAGGCTATTAATATGGAAATTAATACAATGAAGTCTTGTTTGAAGTCTGACATTTGAACTAGCACTCATCATATTCAGATGCCATCTGGGAGAAACTGGAGGGTTTTTTTTTTTTTCTTTTTTAAGATTCTCATGGCTAGAAGAGCAGAATCAAAGCAGAATCTTTTTTTCTTTTGGTGGGTGGAAGGAGAGTGAATCAGCTTTGTGGACTTTATCAGTATCTTATACTAGTTCTGCTTTTTAAAGTCAATTTTTTTGCCCCCTCTGAGAGTGCATATGCAAGACAGAAGTTAGGGCTCAGCTCTAGAGCCATGTTGCTGAGTTTGCATCCTGTCTTGGCCATCCACTAGCTATGAAACCTTGAGAGAGTTACCTAAGCTCTCTGAGCTTCAATTTCTTCATCTACTAAAGAGGGTAACACTATTTCTACCCTTGCAGGATTCTTGTGGGGATTAAATGAGTCAAAAATGCATGTAAAGCCTCTCAGAACAATGGCAGGAGCCAAAAAGAGTTTGCTATTATTAGTTTGAGAAAGCTTACTAACACACCAGGAAGAGAAATTTTTGAGTGATGGCGATGATCAAGGGGATTTATGAAACCTGCTATTTCTGGACTAAACAAAAATTCTCTATTCCCCTTTTGGGCTCTATTTCAGAAAAAGGCCTACCGTACCTGTGATTCCAGGGCTCCAGAGAAGGCATTTTCAACTTCCCAAATATTATTGCTCAGCACCAATAGTGCACAGTTGCCTGAAGTGTCTCAATAAACATATTGTTTTCTGGATCTGGCCAGAAAGACCTCAGGTCCTGGTCGCTGAGCCGCTTGTAATTCTAGCAGGTTTTGATGGGAGAATGGAATAGGAAGAGAGTTTGTGACTCAGTGATTCTGAAGATGAAGTGGGAATAGATGAGAAGCCCTGAATGGGGAAGAAGTAGAGACCAGGGGCTGGAGGGGCTGGATGAGCTGAGCATAAAGACAAAATTTACTCTGTTGTCTGAAATGCAATGCCTGCCAGGTGTCCTTGGGTTGTTATGTGGGCATTTTCTCCTTTTCTATCTATGTCAGTAGCAGCTTATGTAGTGACTTTTCTTATACATTAGTCTTCAAAGAATCACTAGGAAGAGACTCCATGCTCCCCGTGGGCTTCCGTGGCAGCTCAGCTGGTAAAGAATCTGCCTGCAGGAATCTGCCCAGGAAACCTGGGTTCGATCCCTGGGTTAGGAAGATCTCCTGAAGAAGGGAAAGGCTATCCAGTCCAGTATTCTGGCCTGGAGAATTCCATGGACTGTATAGCCCATGGGGTCGCAAAGAGTCGGATATGACTGAGCAACTTTCTCTTTTACTTTCCCAGTGCAGGGGGCATGAGTTCCATCTCTGGTTGGGGAACAAAGATCCATGCCGCATGGTGCAGCTTACACACACACACACACACACACACACACATGCAGGATGGGGAGAAAACATTGCTCTGCAGATTAGCTGGGTGCATTTATCAAGCAGATCCCCTGAAGAAAACCCAACCAACAAAACAAACCCCCAACATTCAGCAGAGGAGGACCAGAGATGGAGAAGATGCCTTGCAGGAGGTGAGCTCACACCTCTGGGTTCCTGGGCCCAAATCCAGAGATGCTGATTCTGCAGCAACACTGTGTTAGGGTATGGTAATTTTTATGGGGCTGTGGTACCCCAGAATCTTGAGGGAACCAGGGGCCACGATCTGGGTGGCAGTGAGCAGAGGCTTTTCTGGAAGCTGCACTAGCCCTGTTGTGACATTTTTACAAACACCTAGTGTGAATGGTGATTTATGGGAGCTTTGGGGAGTTGATGGAGATTATGGGGGTCTAAGTCCCAAGCTAGGCCTTGACATCTCTACTCTCTGAAGGCTGCGCATTGAGAAACACTGTCAGAAAGTAGCAGTGGGAGGTGTCTTAGCTCTACACTATCATTTTACAGAGTAAGACCCAGAGAGGCCCAGAAAGGTTGAGTGCCTTCATCAAGGTCACACAGCTAGTTAGTCAATGGCAGGTCTGAGACTGTAACCAAGTATTCTTGTTCTCCATCCAATTGCCCATTCACCAAACACCTGTTCCCCCTAGGGTGGGAGACTGGGGAGGGGAGTGAGAGGAAGAGGGAGTGAGAGGAAGAAGTAGTGAGAATTGGAGGGAGGCGCGCCCATCATCCGGAGGGTCCGGTAAGAACAAACATTTTGCCCTTGTGGGAAATGGAGTCAGCATTACAATAGGATAATTTTGGCTTCGAATTCAAACAGTCAATCATTTGCTATTAAAATGACGAATATAATTAATCTTCTAAAGCAAAACGTCCTTCCTGGACCAAAAAAAAAAATATTACAAGACTGTATTTCTTTTTAATCCCAAGGGATGCAACCTCCATCGGAGCTCATGTTTCAGATTTTCCTCCTAGTAACAGCATCTTCACATTGGCTCTGCTGTTCCGGGCAGCTCGTGGTGCAGGAGTGGCCGTGGGTAGAGGGCCTGGGCGGCGGGACTGCGGCAGCGCAGGCGAGCGGGCGGGGGCACTGCAGCACCGCGGCCCTCGGGCGGCCGGGCAGTGGCCCGCTAGAGGGGGCGCTGTGGGCACCGCCGAGCGTCCTTTTGTCAGCGCACTCGGCCGGGAGAGCTCTCATTTCCTCTCAGCCTCGTGCGGGAAATGGATTTAATTCTGACAGCAGAGCTGTAAGGGACGAGTGGGAACGAAAGCCTTTTGTCAAGGAGTGGCAGCCTCTGTTGTCTGTGATTACCACTGACGCGGAGAAGCTGCGCTGCTGGTGGAATTCCAGGCAGCTCTGGCCAGTGCGCGGCTGCAGGATGGGTAGAAAACAGTGCTCTGCAGATTAGCTGGGTGCATTTATCAAGCAGCTCTCCCAAAGAAAGCCAGCCAACAAAACAAGCCCCCAACCACCCGCAGCCGAGGACCAGAGATGGAGCAGATGCCTTGCAGGAGGTAAGCCCGTCTTGGGAGTGGACGCCGCGGGCTGGGCTTGGTTTTGCTTATTTTAATCGAATTTGCGACCCTTACAGCATCCTTCCACCGGGCGGGAGCAGGTTGGTCCAGATCGGTGAGCGTCTGTCAGTGAGTGCGTCTGCGAGGCAGCCCTTCCCCGCGGCTGTGCTTTATGCCTAAAGGTTTCCGTTGCTGATGTAACATCGGAGGTTCTTTGGGAAGCGGGCTGCCCATCGCTGGCCTCTGCCTGGGGACGATCAGACCCACGCGCCCCGAGCGCAGCGCCTGCCGGGTGGGGCTTTCTTCTCAGTCCAGCCGGGCTGGCGGGCTGCGAGCCTCGCCGCATGGGGCCGCCCCTCCCTTCGCTCAGCTCTGGGCCGCCGCCCTCCGCCGAGCCGCCCGGCGCGTTCGGCTGGGCTGGGCGCGCTCCCCCGGCCTCGCCATCGCCTTGGCGCCGCAGTAGCTGAGGGGTCGGCAGGTGCGGCGTCTGCAGCTGCCTGCATTGGGAGCAGGGGCGCTGGAACGTGAGCCGACCCCAATGGGTTTGAATTTTTACGCGACCGCACCACTTTGGGGGGAAAAAAAGGCCACTGTCCCCGAGAAGATCGGGCCAGTCAGATTATCTATTAGTTTGTCTTCCTTCCCATCTCCTCCCCTCCTCCTCTCCCTTCCCGCGCCCAGTAGGAGGCCACGCTCCACCCGGAGGCGGGGGCCAGCGTCTGCTTGTTTTGAAATCGCGACCACAGCCAGCCTACCTGGTGTTGGGGAGGAAGGGAGGGGCAGATTGCTTTAGGATGCTGATCAGGCGCTCGGGTCTAGCCTATTGTCTTGCCTTTTCTCCCCCTTTCTTTTCTTCTCTAATCTCCACCCCCAGACCAAAAAAAAAAAAAAAAAAAAAAACAAACCAAAAAAACAAAAAAACCAAAAAGGGGGCAGGATGGGGAGAGAGAGACCGAGAGGACAGAGAGAAAGAGAGACAAGAAAAGGAGGAGGGGAAAAAAGCCCCAAGCCCACACCCTATCAAATTCTTCTGAAAATTGTCATTTATCTTTGACACATGATTATTACCCATCTGTTTCTTCACGCCCACTCTTCCCTCCTCTTGCAGTTTGTTGGCTAAGATTCAACGGACTCAAATGAGCCTTATAAATACTAGAAATCAAATCAGTTTCCTAAAGGAAGGTTTTGTGCTTTCTGATCAACCTGGAATGAGGGATTTCCAGCGTCCTGGCAGGAACAAATGATAGGAAAGGTGGACACCCTCCTTTCACATCTAGGGTGTGGATCTAGTGGAGATACAGGAGACGTTGAACTTGTGCAATGAGGGACATCTTCATAAATGGCATTTGAAAATGATGTTTCATTTTAAGGGGAAAATAGTTGGTAACACTTGAAATGAAAGTGCTTTAAATTATAAATGAGTAGGACCAGGGAAAATAGCTGTGAAGTTTCAGACTTGCAAGTCACCCCTCCCACCGACATAGGAAGAATATATGTTGGAGATTTTAAAAAGGGGTTTAAGTCATTTAACATTTCTACTTTATAATGTTCTACCTTCATTCTGCCTGTGGACCAACATCTTGCCCAGATACCCCAATTTACTTTCACTCCCCATCTCCCCATCCTAAAAGGGTACAGTAAAAGAAAGCTTTTCATTATTAGTATGGTGTCAATACATTTTGGAGAACCAGTACAGATAAATCACCCTTTGATCCACAATCCATACCATTTCTGTAGTGAGCCCTATGTTCTTACTTGTCCACCCAGTTATCTCACCTGATTAGAAATGTGCTTGTCACATACAAAATATACAAAACTGCCTGAAATGACACATTGTATGTGTTTTCTAAGCTTGAGTTGAATTTGCTTTAAATATCAACATGGTGCTGAAATTAGTAAAACTCAGCTTTCCTTAAGAGTTTGCAAATGATCTAATGTGTTTGTTGGCAGAGGGTTTAGGATTAAGATTTTGAATACTTATGAAAAAGACTCCGATAAATATATTTATCAACTATCTTGTTCTACATGGAATTTAAGACGGTTTACAGAGATTTATAAAGTACAGCAAGACAGACTTAGAAGTAGATGGGAAAGAAAAAGGAAACTAAAGGTAGAGACATAAAATTGTGTTAAGAATGAGGCTAATGTGAAAATGGAAACATTTGAAAGTGAAAAGGGAGAAGTGTTAGTTGCTCAGTTGTTTCTGACTCCTTGTGATCCCATGGACTATAGCCTGTCAGCCTCCTCTGTCGGTGGAATTCTCCAGGCAAGAATACTGCAGTAGATAGCTATTCCCTTCTCCAGGGGATCTTCCTGACCCAGGGATTGAACCTGGGTCTCCTGCATTGCAGGCAGATTCTTTACCGTCTGAACCACCAGGCAAGCATGTGAGGGGCAAACAAATTCAACTCTGAACTTTCTAGCAACTCATACCAAAAGGGAAGTTGGCAAGCCCTATGACAAGTTCATAGGCTTTGTTTATTCATGGACTCGTTCACTCAACAAACATTCACTGAGGACCTACTACGCACAGGTTCTGTGAGGCACTGGGAAAAAAGGAGTGAAGCAGACAGATGTGGTCTCTACCCTGACAACACTTATAGCCAAATGCAGGAGATGGACATTCATGAAGACGTCTCTCAAATGAATATCTGGTTACAAGATGTGAGAAGAGCTGTGCAGGAAAAGCATGAAATACAAAATGTCACACGTCCAGACATAAAAACACAGAATAAAAACTTCTGCAGAGATGCATAACCATTCTTAATTCTAAGAGCAGAAAGGAACATTTTTCAGGTACGAAGCAGTGTTCGAAATAAAGTCCTTGTCAGATGGGTTTCACTTTGCCATTTTTAGAGTGTCCCTTAGTGTGAGGGATCCTGATATCACCCCCACAGTTCTCTTGAACCCCTAGGGTTCTGAAAATATTATATTTTGAGGGACTTGTATATTCTCTAAAATGTAGTGGCTTTATTTCAGTGATGATCTTACCTAATGAATATTAAAACTGTGTTCTAGATGATCTTCATGGCAACCCCCAAAACAATGCTGGGGCCTTTGTTTGCCTCTGCGTCTTCCCAGGTGGGCCAGGGGCAGGCCTGGTGGCTGGGCCACAGCACAGATGAGGGGGAGGGGAGTTTAAACTAAGATGGGTGTGTGTGTATGTGTGTGTGTGTGTGTGTGTGTGTGTGTGTGTGTGTGTGTGTCTACACAGGGCACAGGTTTGCTAGATTCAAAAGAACAGCTCCTGGCAACCACTGCTATACTGGCCAGGAATGAAGTTCTCCTGCCAAATCCACTTTGGCATGGACCAAGTTGCAGCAATTTATTAGCAGCAGGTGTTGCAGTAAAAATGCAAGGAGAAAGTTGCTGTTGCTGGTTTTAGAATAATTGGATTAGATCTTGATTTAATGCAGATTTAGTAATTTCTCAATAAGTACCTTATGTCCAAAGCAATGAGACCAGCAATTTGGTATAATGGTTAAAGGAGCCAAGACAGCCTGACTTCAAATCCGTTTTTCCACTTCTTAGCTGTGAGACTTTGGACAAGTTACTCAACCTCTCTATGCCTATGATTATATGTGGGTAAATATGCAGCACTGATTTCACAGTAAGATTGTGAGGACTGGAGGTATTACATGTGAAAAACTATGTTCAATGAATGTTAGCATTCATACTATTTTTATTAATGAAGTGGCACTTCATTTACGGAAGTGTGCCAGGATGGTTTGGGGTCAGAATTTTTTAATTTAGTTTTTATTTTATATTAGAATATAGTTGATTTACAATNTGGCACTAGTGGTAAAGAACTCACCTGCCAATGCTGGAGACATAAGAGACGTGGGTTTGATCCCTGGGTTGGGAAGATCCCCTGGAGGAGGGCACGGCAACCTACTCCAGTAGTCTTGCCTGGAGAATTCCATGGCCAGAGGAGCCTGGTGGGCTACAGTCGATAGGGTCACAAAGAGCCAGACACGACTGAAGCAATTGAGCGCAAACATGTAGTAACTAGACCTGAAGCTGAATCTTTCTATATGTTAAACCCAAATGGTATTTTAGTTTCATCAAAACAATATTATCTGTTGCAGTAAATAAAATTTATTAATTTGATATTTTAAAGTTGGATAGTTGTATTTATTTCCACTTTCATTTTTGCATTCTACTGATATAAAAGTTACAAAGTTCAAGTATTTAGAACTGGTCTTTTTGAACATACATATTTAAGTTATATTTTAATAAAGTGATTTAGGTCAACCTTTGGTTCATAAGATTTTTTTTCAAAAAGGGTTTCTATAAAATTCAAGCATTTTGAATTGGGTTCAAGGACAGACCCAAGATTCTTGGAATAGAATTTTGAGTTTCTATAAGAGAGATTGTGGCCCCAAATTTGACTGCATATACCTTGACTGACATAGTTTTAGCTTGAAAGAATTTTAAGGCAGTAATACCAAAGCTTGCCTCTGTCTTCAACAACAGCATCAAAATCCTCTGAATTCAAAGAGCATCTATGGAATGGTAAGCTTCCAGCAAAAATTCTTCTTGGTCTATCTTCCAGGATAAACTACAAATGAAAGCTTTGTCAATATTATTGAGTGAGGTGAAACGAAAGTCTATTCTCTGTGGAGTACAATGTTTGTTTGGATTAAAACAAGTTTACTGGTTATATTCAAATCTATTTTAAAACTTTCTCCATACCTATGATCTGTCAAAGATTATAAGAAATATGTTAGTGTCCCACTATAATTATATTTTTGATAGCTTTCCTATTGATATACACATATCAAAGACATATGCATTTATACAGACACATACACAGAATTATATTTGATGGTGTGTTACTTAGAATCCTGATTGCTTAGGACTGATGGATTTCCTGGGATGGAGCATTTTCAGTGCAAACTCTGGGATAGTGCCAGGCAAAGGAAGACAGATCTATTTTAGTTTTAGAAAACAGGGAGAAAACAGACCATAGGCCCAGATTCTTTAAGGACTCTCCAGAA